TGCCCTTCCTCACTTTGAGTAGTTGTAGGGGATAGCATTAGTCATTCAAATGTATAGATAGTTGGTTTTTGTTTGTCATTCTGTGTTTTTCTAGATTATAAATAACATTTCATACGCTTGAGTCTTAGTGTCTACACTTTTACTTCATGTTTTGCTGTCAAGTTTGGCTCTGTTCCAGTCCTCATTTACACATTTGTTGCAATTTCTAGCAGGCCTCAGTAGAACTGTTCCTATGTTTGCTTCTAAAGTTTTTAAGACAGTCTTTCGGATTTGATCCACTGTACTCCAGCTACTTAGATATCTATTTTCTGCAAATAGCAGTTCTGTGCTAGTGCACAGGGGCCTCGAATACCGTCGTTAGTTGCTTTAAATTGCAAGACCTCATTGGTGAATACTGCTTTCCTTTCCATTAGAAAGAAGCTTCAAGATAATACTGCAGGATCTGGCTGAGAAATCTATACCCAGTTCAACCTTCTAATATGAGCAAACTTTGTCCTGTGTGTTTGTTTGTTTTTATATTCAACACCTTATCTTTTAGTCATGTAAGTTCACGTTATTGAATACAATGTGCCCTAGGTAAAGGATTCTGGGAAAACTAAGAACTCTGGTGAAATCTTTGGCTTTATTTTGAATTTCCCTGGTGGTGGCTGAAATTTGACCTCATTTCTTCTCCAACATCCAATACTATATACCATGCTGACTCTTTGATGGAACTGTTAAGTAGATTTCCTGCTGAATGTGCAGCTGTTTCCCAAAAGCCTACGGTTTCTCTGGTAGCAAGAACACTGGGGAAGGAAAAACTCCATATTCTTGCCTTTTAATTGAAAAAGTGTTGGAGTTACAGTTGCCCATAAATCTAATGTGAGCCAAGAGTTTATCGTAACTAGTAAACAAACTGATGGTTTTCTGCTAAATTAAGTGGAAGTAAAGTGAAAATCTAGAATAGCAGAGAGGGAGATAGTATTGAATTTTCATTGATGAAGGCTATCTGGAGCACTTTTTAACTTGGGACTTTTTAAAATATTGTTATCTATTAGGGCATTAGATAACTAAAATTTTTTAAATTTTTAAAAGAATCTTAAGAAATTTCTGAAAGACAGAAAAAGATTGGAAGAACCTTGAGGGGCTCAGAAAACCAAATCATGTATAGAAACAAAATATTACACTCAAGATGAAAAACACAAAGGGTAATATCGTAGGTAATCTACAATTTTTACTTTTCTATTTTTTTTATTTGCCAGTTATAGTTGGCATTCAATATTATTTTATATTAGTTTCAGGTGTACAGCATATAATTGACAAAGTGACCCCTCTGTAAGTCTAGCCCCCACCTGGCACCACACATAGTTATTACAATATTATTGACTGTATTCTCTATGCTGTACTCTGGTAATCTCCAATTTTTAAAAGGCTAACAAGATAATAAAAAATACATTCTTTAAGCCACAAAGATTTATTAATTACAAATACCAGAAACGGGCAGGGGGTGTGGCATGATGAGCTGGGGGAAGGGCAGCTCTCCACCCCAGGTCAAGAGCGAACAGGGGATAAGAAGCAGGGTAGCAAGCACCTATTACTGATAAGGCGGTTGAGGCCCAGGTCACTAACTTTCTCTGGCCCAACTTTAACTAGTTATTTTATTTTATTTATTTTTTAAAATATGTCTTTATTGATTTCAGAGAGAGGAAAGGAGGGGGAGAGAGAGAGAGAGAAACATCAATGATGAGAGAGTCATTGATCGGCTGCAGCCCGCAACCCGGGCATGTGCCCTGACCGGGAATCGAACCCCGATCTCCTGGATCCTAGGTCGATGCTCAACCGCTGAGCCACGCCCGGCCGGGCATAACTAGTTATTTTAAAAGGTGCCCCTGGAAAATCAGAACGGGAGCTTGGATCAGGAATCCTAAGCTCAGGTGCTTATCTAAATGTCCAGCCCCTGCGTGCGAGCAGGCTTGGCGTGCCGTGAAATGCCGACAGCAGCTCCGAGTAACTGTCTTCCCATCACAGGAGTCGCCCTGCCTTTCTCTTTCAAATCCACGGATGACAGGATCTGTGCATTTCTACAGAAGGCAAAAAAAAGGGTCCTCACAACTGCAGGGGAGACAAAAGCGCATTTTGGCTCTAAACCAGAAAAGAATCTTTAAAATCCAAGTTATCCCATATTAGAATGGTCAGGTTAGAAAACTCTGGACTCTCATAGAAAGATAGCAGCTCTCTGCGCGGAGTTCCTCTCTAAAGCGCTTTCACCCTTTTCTGAACGTTACTGTTTTGCTCCTTAATGATCCAGGACCCTTTCGCAGGTGTAAAGTTAGGTTATATAATTAAAAGATGAGCAGTACTGATTTTAAGAAAAAGCATCTTTCTTGCTTATTGACACAGGGTTGAGCTTAGTGTCGCGACTGTCTCCCATAATTTTTCTTCTCGCCTATGCCCTTGCCTTCCTTTGAGTTTGCTTCTCTCAGCCTTCTTGCTGTCCTCTGTGTGTCTTGTTTTGATGCTTAGGTGAAATAACTATTCCGGCCTCTCTCAAAGAATGTATTTTGTTGCCTGAATACTTAGTGCATTCCCAGAAAAACATTCACTTTCGAAAAATATTCCAAACGTAAATTTCGAAGAGCCACAGTAATTTGTCTTGTGATGCAAATTATTTATAGTTCGTGTTAAATGTTTTGATAATTTCTGTTCCAGTGAGGAATAACATTGAATAACTTTCATTTGTGATATAAAACCTGAGCCAAACTCTGAATTTAACTGACAAAAATTACCATAAAAGCTATGGGGGAAAAAGGTTTAAATGACAATATACACTCCACAAAGTCATCTTCACTTCTACTTGCTTATAAATTAACTTGGCATAAGTCTTCTTTGTTAATGCTCCTTTAAACAGTTAGAAAATCAAATGTTGAAGTTGAAGATGTTTTCATTGATTTAGGCTAAGTCAGTATTCTGCAAATTACAATCATTTTATTTAAAAGTTGTTACCAGCTGAGGATAAAAACCATTACAACTATTTCCTAGTTGTTAGTATTTTGACTAATATCAGGGAGGGGCTTTGTAGTCTTCCCATCAGCAATTCCTCCCACAGCTTTGCCTCAAAATCCAGGCTAATAATTCTTCTTCAGGATTGAAGGACTTTGTTTCATTTCCATAGAATTATAGTGTCTTTTCTTTCAGTTCCTGGTGACAGTTCATGTGCAGCTGAGAGGTCAAGAACTGAGGACATCAAATAATTGTAGTCTTTTAGATTCACTACTTAAAAATGTTGGGTTTTTCTGTGGTAATTGGCACAATAGGACATACTATTAATCGTAAGTTTTCCCATGGTTTCCTGGATTAATGTGTATTCTATAAACTAAGTCTTACAGAATATTCAGTCATAATTAATTTCTGTTTCCTTTATTTTAAAGTAATTTTAGATGAATTCAATCAGTTTAAATAACCTGCTTTTTAAATGAAATTTCATACTGATACTGTTCATAACTGATATTATTATAACTTTTTGGCCAAGTAGAAGTGATGCCTCTATGCCAACATTGATTAGAAATATTAATTCAATAGAGCATTCATAGTTCTTTACTTCTATTATAAAAAGAAGTTTGCTTACCTCATTCATTATGTACAATACTTTATCAATGACTTTTTCACTGATGTTGAATTCTGTGTGATAGTAATAGCACTGAGAATTTAATGTGGTAGCCATAAAGAATACTTGTAGCTTCCAAGTCAATCTCTAAAAATTAATATTTTAGTTTGGGCCTATGATATTAATGCAAATTAATAGATTGAAGAATTAATTTGACTGAAATGACTATTTCCTTATTTTTAGCTCTTGAATTTTTTTAACGATTCTAAACAAAATCTTCATATAAGAAGTATATAAACCAGTAATCTTAATATGAAGAAATATGTGCTGTAATAACTAGTAGTTTTCAATATTCACGTTATTTAGCAAATGAGAATGAAAAATGACCTCTTCCATTGATGTGCTGCTCTACCCCTTATAAAACAGTATTAGGAAAATTTGACAGAGTTTTGCTACAATTGCTGTATGTATTTTTTTCTAAAAATTTATGTGTATGTGTATGTGTGTAAACATCATGTTTGATCATAAAGTTCTGGCTGGGAAAAACTTGCTTGTGTTATGATCAGTTATATGATCATAATGACAATGAATTCATTCCTGTCATGTGTTAGTCTGCCATGTTTAATTTCATTAAATCTTTGTTTCAGAGTTTGCATGTGGTGCTCACTTCAGTAGCCACTATCTCTTGATATTATAAATGATACTTTATGATCTTTTCTACTATATTATACTATAAAATTTCAGCACTGTACTCTGAAATTTTATACTAAAATGAGTGGTGTTGGGTGAGATAATCATTATAGTCGTTAGTGTCTTGGTTCCAATAAAATACTTGACTTCTATGGTCTCAGTGAAAGGCTTCTATCTATATCATCCTGATACACATTCTGATCTGAGCTAATAGAGTAAAAATGTTTGGATTTCCTTTTATACTAATTTCTTTTTTAAAAAAATTTTTAAGTATCAACAAGTTTTTTTCTGCCAACTGTCAGATCTGACCTTTCAGTTATCAGGTGTTGGCAATTTGGCACTTGTATGTTATTGCTATAAGGGTCTTGGTGGTCCTAAAATAATAATTATTGGTACACAGGAATGTCCATAAAACATAATAAAAATGTGGCCAATACTTTGCAAATGCTATAGTTTACCTTAAAATATCACCTTATGCTAATTACATCTAAATACTTGTTAGCATAATAAAAATAATAAAATTTATTTTTCACAGGATGTGTAGATAGATCAAGCATAGCTGCATTTTAAGGTTACTTGACCTCTGTGTGTTTGTTTTTATGGCCATCATACTGTTAATATTTTTTCATAACAATTTGCATGACTCTGATGATTAAATATGGCTTAGATGCAAGACTTGAATGAATTCTAACTGAACTATCTGGTGGGTGGTGAATTTCTTTTTTAGAGACTGAACCGGTCAAGTTCCTCTGAGTGCAGCACAGTTGATAACCCTCTGCCAGGAGAAGGAGAAGAAGCTGAGGCCGAACCTATGAATTCGGATGAGCCGGAGGCCTGTTTTACAGATGGTAAGAGAAAAATCAAGACCTCAGTTAGCATTTATTTATTAGTGTGTTGGATTTTATCTTATTCCTGATACTTAACTGGAGTTTAGTAAAAAGTTAGACAGCTCCATTCCATGCTGTCAGTCATGGCTCCATGACCAAGGGCAAGTCATTGGAGCTTTCTAAGCTTCTGTTTGCATCCTTACGATACTCAACTAACAGCAATTTACAATGACAGTGTTTTATACTGTGAAGCACCCTGCTTACTCTAGCATGTTCATGCTTTTCATTTCAGATCCTTAATTCATGTTCCCAGCTCCATGGAACCATTAGAATACAATTCTTTAAAAGTTTCTTTATTTTGTTGAAAATATTACAGATGTCCCCATTTTCCCCCCATTGATCCCCTCCACTCAGCCTCCGCCCTACCCCTAGGCCTTCCCCACACCAATGTCTGTGTCCATTAATTATGCTTATAAACATATAAGTTCTTTGATTAATCTCTCCCATCCCCTCCTTCCCTCTGAGATCCCTCAGTCTGTCCCATGCTTCTATGTCTCTGGATCCATTTTTTTCATCAGTTTATTTTGTTTATTACATTCCACATATGAGTGAGATCATGTGGTACTTGTCTTTCTCTGACTGGCTTATTTCACTTAGCATAATACTTTCTAGTTCCCTCCATGCTGTGCCAAAGGATAAAATATCCTCCTTTTTTACAGCTGCATAGTATTCCATGGTGACAGAATACAATTTGATGGGGGTAGATGGTACTACTGTGCTTTTCATCAAAAGTTAAAGCTATGTGCTAACTCAGTAAACCGTTTGATGCTGTTGACCACAGTCTATCTGAGCATTCTTCCTTTCGTTTCAGAGGCCACACTGTACCTGTGTTCTTCTTTTACATCTCTGAGACTTCCAAATTTCTCCCCTCATTTTTTTAGTGACTGGTTTTATGCATGTCCTTTAAATAGTGATGCCCCAGCATGTTGATGCTTTATCTTCCTATTCTCTAGCCCAAAGGATTTCATCCATGTCTGTAGCTTGAACAGCTATTCCTGTGTTGTTGCCTCTTATATAAAAGGAAGTGTGAAAATTAAAGTAGTGAAAATGAATGCTAAACTGATTTTGGTGTTCATTGTTTCACATCCATTGATCCTTTTCAACTATGTCTATCACTTTATTATTTCATATCTTGTTCCTCCTCTTCACCATCCTTAGTTCTGTCCCATTACCTTTATAACTCAAGACTTCAGGATCCTTCCATAGATCTGGCACTGTTCCTCACTATTCTTAATTCTGCATGTCCTGGCAACCTATAATTATGAACTTGGCATGACTTTTATTCTGCTTGGTTTTATATTGTGCTTTTATTGGATTAAACAATTAGTATATGATAAAATCAGGACCAGGGTGTGAGATGGATACCCTTTTGTCCTTAAAATAATGTATTTCCTGTTAATTTTGTAGGAGGAGCCAATTCAACTTCCCCCTCCCCAAATGTTCTATGTTCATCAACTTTCTATAAAATAACTATTAACTGTAAATTTAATAACACAGTAACCAATTCCTTTGTGTCTTTAATTGGAAAGAAAATGTGGACAAAACATTTGTTTTAGAGGATTTAGAAATTTTAAAGAAATTTTTAAGAGGTAGTGAAAAAGGGAGTTATTTTCCTAATGAATTTCTTATAGTAATTATACAGATCATGCTACTACTATATTTTTATTAATGGGTAATCTGTCTTGGAAGAGTCAATGGTTTCTTTATTATTTGAGAGCATTTGTTTAACATGATGAAACCCAGTATAAACTTTATGTAATGGGTCATGAGAGCAAATTAATGAAACCACCCAAAAGAAATATTGTTTACCCTCAGGGATCTATTAAGATGTTTGAGAGGTTCTGTGTTATGTTCACATTTAATGAATAGTTTTTTAAAAAAAAGAAGGAGTAATAATGTTGTTAACCAGCTAGGTTGGAAATCTCTTGGGATATGTCTTTGCATAAAAACCAGACAAGCAGTCAAGCACTCTACCTCAAAATAAGAGAAACTCTCTGATGTGTGATAAATTCTGAGGGCAATATTTGTGAACCTTCATCCCAGATAAAAAGTTTACTTCTCTAATTAGAATGCATAGTTCCTTTTCTTGCCTCAATCAAGAATAATATTTCTCTTCAATTCTTAAGACTGACAAAATTAAACCCCAGTTGGTAAAATCTTCTTAACCAAAGGGATAACTTTCTCCTTTGATGATTATACTTGAGGCACACAGATTCTGTTTTGCACGAGATCTTTGTTTTTAAGTTTAAGATAATTCTAAAGTCTCAAGCATTAAGTTAATATAAAACAAATTCCATCTTAGTTTTCCAATCTTTCTGGTGTTGTCTTTTGCCCTGAAAGAGAATCTGGGAGTCAATTTTTGGCCCTACCCTTTTACTATTTTTTTACATCATTTTATAAAATATTTTCTCTTTAATTACTTTAAATCCAATAAAGATAAATTATTTCAGGTCTGAGGTCATGTTGTGATTAATGCTGGATAAGTGAAGTCAGGTGTATATTTTCCATTCACCCCGTGTGTTTTTTAATCCAATCTTTGTGTAAATTCTAAAATTCACAGGGATATGACCTTTCAGATAATGATTAATTCTTAGATGATTTTAGAACTCTTTTGGGGGGAATTATGTCTTTTCAGTCAACTATACACAGCATATTAAGCTATGTATAGGACTTAGAGTAAGTATTGTGAGCAGAAAGAAAGGGCAAAAGAGACACTGGTTTAGCCTTCTGGGAACTTAGAAGCTTCCAGAGAGAAAGGACAGAAAATATACATGATAGAAAAAACAGCAGAGACTTGCCCTGGCAGGTGTGACTCGATGGTTAGAGCATTGGCCCACACACTGAAGGGCCACCGGTTCAGTTCGATTCTCGGTCAAGGGTGCATACCTGTATTGCATCTGTTGGGGTGACTGTGGGAGTCAACCAGTCAATATGTCTCTCTCACATCGATATTTCTCTCTCTCTGTGTGTCTCTCTCTCCCTCCCTCCTTCTCTCTCTAAAAATCAATGGAAAAAATATCCTCGGATAAGAATTAACAATATATATATAATTTAGAATGGTGTTTCTCAAAGTGTTTTTTATGGAGGAGTTGAAGCCACACCAGATTGCATACTAGATCTACATTAAGGAAAGTTCATCTTTCAGCAAAGAAGACCCTGAACCTGAAATATCCTTAGATTTTAGTTCATTTATTTATTCATCAGATTCAGTGTTCATTGTGTATCAGGATTGTGTATTAGGATTGTATTAGGATTGCAATAACAGAAGAAGTGGCAAGTGGCTTAAACTCTGTAGAAGAGATTGGTGAGAAGTCAGAGAAGTACAGAAGGCAAGAATATATTCTAAGTGAGAAATAACTGACAAGTATTAAGAAAACACCATGGAGAGTTAGGAGATGAGAGAAGGCAGCACCCAAGTTGAAGGTATAAGTGTTAGAAATTATTTGGCTGAGGGACTATCAAAGGGAAATCTTTGCATTAAATAATATATTTTAGGCATCGTATTAATTCTGAATATCAGTATTTTACATGCATGTCTTTCTTGCCAGGTTGCATACGGAGGTTCCCATGCTGCGAAGTTAACATAGACTCAAGGGAAGGGAAAATCTGGTGGAACATCAGGAAAACATGCTATAGGATAGTTGAACATAATTGGTTTGAAAGCTTTATTGTTCTCATGATCCTGCTCAGCAGTGGTGCTTTGGTAAGTGATCTGACGCCTAAAGCAATAAATTGTCAGTACTTTTAATAAATGAGTTGGAAGATAAAAATATCTTGGCAGGTTGTTTTACCTAACAATCTCTGTGATTAGGACCAAGGATAAAATTTTAGTTCAGCTCAGTAAATATTTACTGAGCGCTACCACATGCCAGACATTATTCTTGCTGCCCTGAATGCAAAAATGGATAAGATCTGGGTAAGATAAGGAACTCAGCAAGCAACTGGGGAACAGAAAGGAAGTGATTATGGTTTGTAAGTGAAGAATATACTTGATAAAGCCTGTAGCAAGAACCATTGTCTGCTTGGGATTTTAGAAAAGTAGATGATGATTTGCAAGATCTAGAAAAATTAATGGTAATTTTCCAGTGAGGCAAAGTGGTCTGAGAGGAACATAGTACAATTGGAAGGAAAAACAAAGAACAGCACCAGATATACAGGAAATTAAAAGTTGCCATAGGAAGTATTGTGGGAGGAAGAGCAAATACAGAGATGAAAGTGGCGGCCAGTGATACTGTGACAGAGATAGGCAGTGTCAGCTTATGAAACATCCTGGATGTTATTATAAGGGGAAATAAACTGCAGTTTTAGGGTGAGAATGGGACAAGATTTTCATTCCTTTGCATATACAAACCACCCTTTGTGAGAGTTTAAAGGTATCTGGGAATTACAAGCTCCCTGAGCCTTTTCTTAATTTGTTTTTCTTTCCTGCAGACACTAACAGAGATTAGAAGCCCAGGTCCAGCTGGAGATACCACTGGAAATTCCACTCTACTAAAAAGAGAATTTTTAAGAACTTAATAAATTGCCTCATAGGCAGTCTGCATGGATCTGGGATTTGATTTTACTCTACTTAAAATAAGTTAACCTGTTACTGTTTCATGGATGCTGGTGGAAGATAGACTTTCTGAGTCAGAGACAAAGGACTTGATTACTCATGGCACAGAAAGCAGCATGAACTTTAACATGCTTGTGTTGGTTCCCCTTGTCCCCAAATCCCATGGGGCCATAGCATGGAGCTTAATGTACATGGCATACATCGTGGGTTAGCATCACAGCTGAGGAGCACCGAGCTTAGGGAACCCATCCTCTTATAGCAAGCAGTAAGCAACCTGGCTCTTCATCCCTGAGGGTGACACTGTCTCATCTCTCAAGGATGCTTGTTGCAAAAACAACCAAATGGATCAAGAGTAGTCAGGGCCTTGCTTTCCTGCCATACCCAACAAGAACATGCAGGGACGTTCAGGGCTCACAGTAGATCTCCTCTCCTAACAATTCTGCTCTGTCAAAAACAGAAGATGAGTAAAAAAAATGCTGCTTCACTTATCAGGTGGAATGTAAATAGGAATCTTGACAGTATCTATGTTACCTTGTATTCCTAATAACTAAGGAAGTCACATATATAATGGAGACTCAGAAAGGAGATTACAAAAAATTATAGAAAAGCTTAGAGTAATGCCTTGTTCAAAATGTCTAAAAAGGAAGATAAAATTTGGGGGGAGGGGATCTCTCAAAACCCAAATTCAAATGAATCATAGGAAGAAAGGGGAAAGGTATTTCAACAAGCTGGTGTTTGTACTCAAGCAATTTGCCAACTGAGCTAGATTATTTAAATACCTGTCTATAAAATAAATAAAAAAGTAATGGCTCTAATTTAGTACATATTTATTGTATTTCAAGATGATTATATAGGTTTTTTCTTTTGATTTTCAAACAATCCTGTGAGATTATGGTATTTTGCTTATTTTACCAGTGAAGAATCGAGGTAAAGAGTTTTAACAGTTGCTTAATGTCTCAGAGCTAGTAAATGGCAGAGCCGTAGCTTAACTAAGGTCTAAAGTCAAAGCCACTGTCTCTTTTTACTCTGCTGTGGCTCCTAGGAAAGGGGGGTGCACACCAGATAGATGGGTAAGTGGTAACTGAAATGAGAAATAGTAAAGCCCACACCCCAAATCAGATAGAGCTCATAAAATGACCTTCTTGCCCCCTTGCTCACACATCCACAAATTTAGTCTTAGGAGCTAGGAGCCCTGCAGGCTGAATCCTGTTTGTCAGAGCAAAATGCACTCAAACAGAGTATTTGGCTCTCAGCATCCACTGTCCTGCTCTGTACCCTAGGTCCAGGAAAGCACTCTCGTCTTCATGACCAAGCCCTTTCCGTATCTTCTGCCATAGTTTCTGTCTGGGTAGCTGGCCTGATTCCTCCACAACTGAAGAAGGGAGGCAGGAAAATCCTGAGGGCTGGAAGTCTCCCTCTGCACTTTAATTCCACTGACTTTCAGAACCTCTGCCAGCTGCCGGACACTTATTTGATTGATTGATTGATTGATTGACTGATTGATTGATTGATTGATTGATTGAAACTGTTCTGAATGATGCTGGGGAAATCTCTGACCCTCTCTAACCTTCTTTTAGCATCTTAGTAAATCTTCCCATTCTCTCTGTCCTAACTGCTCTGTTTTCTTCAATATTCATTCCAACAATTTGCAAAAAGTACTAATGATCATTTTTAAGGTATTGATAGAAGAATTTGAAATAAGGAGAATAAGAATGTCACAGGGCATGGCTATGGACAGATGGCATAATGTTAACCACCTTTTGCTTTATTTTCCTTCAACATGCTGAATATTGTTTAAACTTGAAAGAGAAAATTCTAATACTTTAGGCCTGTTTGGATCAGCAATCACTTCCAATGTCTTTAGTGAGCTCAATTGTTTAAGTCCATTCACATTATATCCCAAGGAACTTGTGACGGTGACCAGAGTACCATTGTCTGTCACTTGAAAGTATTAAAGATGCCAAGTTCATGGAATGAATATAAGAGTGATTCCTAGACCTGAAGCTTTTAATGAATGATAAAATATTGCGCACAAATCAAAGAAAGAAGCCATCCTCTGTGTTCTGTAGTCCTACTAAGCTACTATACGTGTTCATTAGCAAACCTTTCCTTGCCTCCTGCTGTGTTCCTGGGGATGCACGAGCATATAAGACCTGAAGGAGAGGCTCCAAATCCTACTTGTGGGTGTGAAGGGGAGTGCAGAGTGATAAAGATAGATCAGGGTGGCTGATCCTGGAATCGTGTCTTAAATTATTGTCTCTTACCCTTTTGAAGAGGGATAAAAGGGGAGTCAAATGAAGTGGAGGTCCCTGCAAATGCTAGAGATTCATTCTTTTAGAGTAGTCTAATTTCATTCTTTTGTGTCCTCTTTCCTATAATAATCTCTGGTGACCAGTGACACGCACTAGTGGTGAGAAGTCTAGAACTGGGTGTTACGCAGTAGCTGTAAACCAGAAGTTCATTATAGCATTATATTTCAGTGGTGGTTTTTTCATAAAAATTTTATGTCCTGTTTTTGTTATGAATCATAAACTTTCAGTTGTAAATGAATTGAAATTTGAATATTATTCCCACAGGCTTTTGAAGATATATATATTGAAAAGAAAAAGACCATTAAGATTATCCTGGAGTATGCTGACAAGATATTCACTTACATCTTCATTCTGGAAATGCTTCTAAAATGGGTGGCATATGGTTATAAAACATATTTCACCAATGCCTGGTGCTGGCTAGACTTCTTAATTGTTGATGTAGGTGCTTTGAGTGAAATTTAAAAGAGGGTTTCTTATGATTAAGTGTTTTGCAAAGCCTTCACTAATGTTGTATATTATTTTTTAATTTTGGTTAGCTTTTTGTACTTTCAGGCTATAGGTTTATGTTTTTAGAAATATTAATACAGTCACTGGAAATATATCTGTGAGGAATATTAAAAGAGAAACATTCAACAAATGTAAATTCTTTTCTGTACCATTATAACATATAATTTACTCTTGAATATGTTTTCTGCAAAGAATCGTGCATCTGTACACAATTTGGGTAGCATTTCTGTTGAGAATATGAACAAAATGCAGAACTGAGAAGTATGAGGTGGGAATGGAAAAGGGCAGAGACACAAATTAAAACATAAAATATTAAATTTTTTTACAATATAAAGTTAGAAAATAAGGTGATGGGTGTATTGTCTGATATGTTAGCTGAATGTTATGTAAAAGTGGTAGTACTAAAGCAAATAACTCCGTGTTAGGGAGAGGAGAGGGCATGGAATTTCAAAATATTTATCTCAGTCACAGTGACAGGGAAAACCAAAATTAGCCACAGCTCTTACCCCCATTCAAACATCCAACTTACCATTCATCTCTAGAGTGGTGGTGGAGCAGAGAAGTTGGCATTAATCATTTCAAGTAAGTTCAGAGGACTGTTGATCACTTGGATGAGAGAAAATACAGAAGAATGTTTCAGTATAGTATATAATTTTTAACAAAGCAAAAATATTTTTTTAGTCATCTTCTTGAAATAGTCAGGAAACAAATCCTAAAACAGCTTGTGAGATCAAGGCATCTCAAATAGAAATTAATGGTACAACCCCCATTATAGTCAATTCATTTTTACTTAGTGTACTCTATTTTATTTTATATTTTGTTATAATATAATAATATATAATAATGCAATTGTTATATGATATTTTATATTATTTTAAAAGGTTTCCTTAATTTATGACCTCAATCTCCTAATCTTATTTTCATCAGAATGAATTATGTTCTTCATTCTTTTACTAATCTTCCTAGATTTTCCTAAATCTAGTCTTTGTAGTTAAGGAAGGAACATCCTATAATCAGTCATAGTTTTTGGAGGGTTTTTTTCCATCTGATATCTGGAATTAGAGGACAGCATGCAAAATTTTATAGTATGAACAAGTGCCCTAACGTTTAACCAAGAGTTTACATTATCAAACTTATCAGAAAAGGTAAATTAATACAGCATTACTCATAGATATCAAAATTACATGTAAGCATGACTAGAAACAGCAAAATCTGACTGCAAAACTAAACCAAAACTAATATCTACTGTAAAGTTCAGTTTCTCAGTGGTTATCTGAAGCTCAGTAAACTCTTCCCTTTTTAACAGCTCAATATGTAAAATATTAACAGCAATAACATTTTTTGTTTTCTATGTAGGTGATGTGCAAAGAAAATTTTTCCCCAAGGTATACATTGCACCTCTTGGGTTTTCTGTATTAAAAAAAATCTAATTTTTGATACCTTATAGTAACAATTCCATATTGTTTGTTTTTAGATTCACCTTTTATGTAAATGTTACCTAGTTACCACCTATAAAAATAAATGGTAAGGTGGATGCTTTTGTAAGGTAATAGTTTTAAAGAAAGGCTAACCAAATAAGAAGAAATGATAAAAGAAATATAGGTTATTTCTTTTCTCTTAACCTTTAAATATGATGGGTCTTTAAAAGTTATAAAATATTTAAGATATTAAAAAAAACCTTTTAATTATTTTCATCACTCAGCTTACGAAATAAAAGTTTACAAGTAGAATTTAATTTATTTTAAATTATAAAAGAGATATGGCTATTTAATAACAAATTATTTTGTTTAGTATTTTAAAATATGAAGTGATATGAAGGGGTATGTAATATGCAGAACTCAGGGAGGTATGTAGCTTCAATTTGAAATATTTAATATTTCAAAAAAGGTAAATAAATATATAAATATATTAAACATATTTGATATGAAATGTTTTTATAATGTAACACAGAGAGCAAAGTCACAAACAATGTTCTTGCTGGTAGATTCAAATCCAAGGATGCAGATTTGAGGGAGGAACTGAGATTATTTAATTTCTCAAAAATTGAGCAACTTATCTAGTGTAGTTGTTCTCAAAGTGTGATTCTTGAACCAACATCATTGGCTCATGCAGGTGGGGACTTACTAGGGATGCAATTCTCAGAACACACCCAATATCTGCTGAATCAGCAACTCTGGCTCTGGGACCCAGCAAACTGTTGTGAGCCCTCCAAATGATTCTGGTGCATATTCAGGTTTCAGAACCACTGATCTGATTTGATCTTCAGAGGCTGGACTTGTTTGATTTCTGTAGGCTTTTTGATTATTTGAAACTTAATTAAGCATTACTCATCAGTATGGGCATATACTGTGTATATATACGTGTATGCATAGATAGATAAATAAATGTATACATGCATATGTATATATTCCCAGTTACAAACTATACTGTAGTTTTCTCAATAATTGCATCTATTATATTCAATATAATATACCATCATGAAATCATGATTCTTCAAATTGCTTTTGAATAGGTTCATATGAAAGTTTAGGATTAGTTGAGTTAATTCCACGTACTCTTAAGACTTAGCTTTAGAATCGCTGTGCTCTGGGTTTTATTTCAATTGAAATTTTGATAGTTGCTCTAATTAAATGTTCAGAATTAATATGCAAGTACATAACCATTGACTACCAAAGGTACATTTGATTTTTATTCAGATATAAGAAATAACCTACTTTCCTTCTATCATTTCATTTTATTTTGGTTAACCTTTCTTTAAATCTATTTCCTTACAAAAGCATTTCTCTTACCCATTTTTTTAGGCAATGACTAGATAACTTGATATATAAAATCATATTGTTCTTGTTGAGCTGCTCTTAGTGATCTTTGAAATTGACTTTTCCTCTTTATGCTTTATTTCGTTGAAATAATTAATGAAAATTTTCCTTTTTCTGTAGGTTTCTTTGGTTACTTTAGTTGCAAACACTCTTGGCTACTCAGACCTCGGCCCCATTAAATCCCTTCGGACACTTAGAGCTTTACGACCTCTAAGAGCTTTATCTAGATTTGAAGGAATGAGGGTAAGAAAATACTAAACTTCCTAACATAATATTCTTATAATTTTATAATTTTCTTATATTTTATATGGAGTATAAAATATGAAAAAATGGATATGTAGAAGTTATGGGCCATTTATAGTTACACATGCATATATATACATACATATATATGAACTGCTTATGTTTGTGTGTGTACATGCACATATACATATAGTAGTTCAGTGCATATTATTTAACAAAGAGTAAATCAAATATTGTTAGGTGATGATCCAAATAAGTAAGTTTTCCCTTCTTAAATGAAAGTCTTCCCTATGCTAGGAAATTTAAGTGAAGGGGACACTGTTAGTCCTGACATCTCTCATATATGAGTCATCAAGGACTTACCTGTATCAGGTGCTCAAATAATATTTTGTAAGGAACTACCCTGAGTAAGGGGTCATAAGAAAAAAAGGAAGCGAAGTAGCATCAGCCATTAATTTTTAATTTCATCCTTACAATAAATGATTTGATAAAAGTGGAATCGTCTCCAAACTATATCTGAGAAAACTAAAGCTCTGAGAGTTTCCATAATTTGCACTAGGCTGCATAGTGCTGGAAAAGAGATTCATTTTGCAAAGACAAACAATGTGAGAGAAATGATGACTACCAGCAACCTAGTTTTAAGGGCTGTATTAAATCAGCAAGTTTTTCCTAAAATATATGGAGGGCAATGACCTTACTTTCTCTCATTAGTCTATACCCTTACCTGCTGCTGTTCTCCTCAGATTTCTTCTTTTCCAGATTTATACCTGTTTCTCATGCCTCTGTTCTCTTGGCCGGGAGTGCTTCTCCCTGCCCTGTCTCAAACCTCACTCATCAAGGTGGTAGATAAACACCTACCCGTTCTTGAAGCCGCAATTAAAATGTGCCTTGTTTGTCCATCATCAGGCATAATTAGGCATCCTTTGTCTATGTTCAGATACATATAATCCTTATTATATTGTACTTTATTTACCCGGTTCCTCTCTACCTGTAGTCTCTGAACAATTTAACGTGTGCAGGTCAGTCCAGCTCACTGCCTCTCTCAGTGTGCTTTACTGACCAGCCATTAGCATCATCAGAACTAATTAGATACACTATTTCCTAGGCCCACCCTGACCTACTGAATCGTAAACTCTGAGATGGGGCTCAGAAATCTGAAGTCTCAGGTGAATGTTAGCGATATTTTAGTCAAGCAAATCTTCATTATTATCCCTGCTAACCTAACTATGACTGTTACCTCTACTTCTAATGAATCCAATGTATTGATGGATTCATGTATATGAGAAGTCATGATCATACAAAAAAAAAATGAATAAATAAAATTCAAGTACTTTTTGTCATATAAGAATTGAAAAATTACAAGTTGCATTTTATTGGAATTTACTGACGTTACCTTCACTTTTTAAGCATTAGTAGAATGTTACAATATATCCAGAACTTAAGACTGATCCTTGAACTTGAACAGACATTTTATTCCATTTTATGAACAAATAATATACTTTCCCCTACAAAAATTACTTCCCTCAGTGATTAAGCCAGCCCATTATTGTACCCTGGTTGCCTTGTTCTTTACCTATAATACAGGTGAATATTTTAATATATGGAAGGGAAAACATGTCTGTTTAGTCACATTTATTAACCATGCAAAAAGGAGATGTTTCTTCATGCTGTGTGTCATTTTGAAAAAATAAAGTAAATAATGATTTGCATCATTTTGTAGTCTTGGAGGCTCTTGAGAGTGTTGACTTTCACAAGTCGATGGCTTCTCATCAGAGCAATATGTACCTATCTCCCTGAGAGACCTGTCACTGTCACATTCTTTCAGCAAACATGTAAACACCAACCATGTGTCAGTTGTCATGCTATAAAAGAGTACAATGGTGACTAGACTCCAGCACCCCAAGGCTGAGTGGGGACACTGATCACGGAGAGACAAACAGGGGAACAGTAGTTATTCTGTGACATCTGCTATAAGTTAGTAAGCTCACAGGAACATAGAGGTGAGTGTAGCTGCCTGAGGACTTCTGGGAAGGCTTTATGAGGAGGTGACATTGGGCCATGACTGAGACAGTGGGCCCCAAAGCACAGGCAGGTAGGCGTTCTGGGCAGAGATGCTCCATGGGAGAGAAGCACAGAGTTGAGTGTGCAAGGCACGTGTGATCTGTGTGCTGAGCTGGTAAGCACAGGGGCGAGGTGAGCAAGAAATGAAGATGAAAAAGTGGGCTTGAAAGAGTTGGCCACTTTGAACTTTATTCTCTAATCCTGTTCTTCCTAACTTTTTAGTGACTATTGTAAGAGCCTCATGAAAGCATGAATCATCTCTCCATAGAGAAAGCATACCCATGATGTTGTTAGCAGAATTTCATGGCCGCATGGAACCTCTACAGGTCCATCGACCCCAGGATAATAACTATTATTCTGGACCAGAGTCAACATACCAAAGCCCACGGTTGTAAAGGAAATTTTATTAGATTTTGGCAGTGCCGATTTATGTATATTCTTGCTACAGTGGCAGAATTGAATAGCTGCAATGGAGATCATATCACCCTCAAAGCCTAAAAATACTTAAGGAAATGTTTGCTAACCCCTGCTGTAACCTCTGCTGTAGACAATCTCAAAGGGAATCAGAGACTACTAATGTTTTACCATTTGGAAATGTCTTAAGAGCTTGCTTGATATATTGCAAAACAGTAAGAGCGCAATGCTTAACAGATTAGTTACTTAACAAATTAGTCCTTCACACATTTCCACTCAGATTTGGACTAGAGCTGAAGTGTCAGGAGACAGGTAGGTTTTGAAGGACAGGGTTATTAAGAAAATCTGGAAAGTGATAAATGCTACAATAGACGTCCTGCAGTGGCAAGAGGCGCTGATGATCAATAGCTTAAAAGCAGAAATAAAGTATTAAAGATAAACTATACTGTTTTGCTTCCACTGAGGCCAGCACTATATATTTAGCCAAGGACCTATATAAAGTATTTTTGGAGTTAGAATAGTACACTTGAAAAAATCACTCTCATTTTGCAGATGAGGAAACAGGAGTCCCAAGGTCTTAACTGAATTCACATATCACACAACTAGCAGAATCAATTAAATCTAAGGGGTTCATACCGCTAAATGATTTTTTTAATCTTTATTGATTTCAGAGAGAGGAAGGGAGAGGGGGAGAGAGATATAGAAACATCAGTGATGAGAGAGTCATTGATCGGCTGCCTCCTGCACGCCCCCGACTGGGGATCGAGCCCACAACCCGGGCATGTGCCCTGACCGGGAACTGAACCTCCCATCTCCTGGATCCTAGGTCCATACTCAACCGCTGAGCCACACCCGGCCAGGCACCACTAAATGATCATTAATTCCAGTTTATCCACACCAGTAGTCTCTCTGTATGAGAGAATTTTAGCACTGGTAATTCTAGGACTATGAATCTTTAAATGTACATTTTATTTTCTATGATTTATATTTAAAATTTCTTTTTTTCTAAAGTATGCAGATTTTACAACTTCACCTTACATATATCAGGTTTTGGCTTATTATTTTTATTTATTCTTTTTGTTTATTTAAGCTTTCATGTCAGCTTAGTTATTTTGTTTTGTATTGTTGCTCATAGTTTCACTGTGTTCATCATGTATTTTTGTAAACACGTTGATCACGGGGCTCCCGTCCCATTTTGTCTTGCTTGGCATGCTGCTGAGCATACAGTGGACATTCGATTAACATATGTTGATTGCTTGATTTGATGTCTTAAACATTTAAGGGTGGCTTTTCTAATTTCTCTAATTTTGCATTATGTTTCATTAATGTTGCCCATTTAACATTTTTATGAATGCTAATCATTCTTTTCTTTCTTTGAATACTAGGTGGTCGTGAATGCACTCATAGGAGCAATTCCTTCCATCATGAATGTGCTACTTGTGTGTCTTATATTCTGGCTGATATTTAGCATCATGGGAGTAAATTTGTTTGCGGGCAAGTTCTATGAGTGTGTTAACACCACAGATGGGTCACGGTTTTCTACAAGTAAAGTTCAAAATAGATCCGAGTGTTTTGCACTGATGAATGTTAGCCAAAATGTGCGATGGAAAAACCTGAAGGTGAACTTTGATAATGTTGGACTTGGTTACCTGTCTTTGCTTCAAGTTGTAAGTGACCCCTTTCATGAATGCTTGATATTGTAGTGGACACTGACAGAGTCATTATTTTAAATTATCTATTAACTAGAAATTAAAGATGAAGTACTTTGTGACTTTAAAAGAGACTTGATGTTAATGAAACATTTTCCTGTAAAAATGAGTAAAAAATCATAGGGTTTTTTTTTACACTCAGGAGTTATTACTCCATAATTGACTTGTTGGTGTCATTTGGGCCCTCACCATTGCACTGTTTGAATATTGCCCCAAAAATGAAGTCTTTTTTTTTTTTTGGACTGCCAGTTTTACACTACATGGGAATGAGAGAGACTTCCCACTAGCACAGAGAATCCTTAAGAATGGAGATAAATTGTTTCCTGCCGTTTTCATAAAATTCTCCTCTACCTCTGGAAAAATAAAAGTTCATCTGCAAAGTTTTCAGGAATTGTAACAACCTGGAAATAACTGACTAGGACTAAGATTTAGAATGTGATGAGAATGTGTCCTTTTTTTTTTTTTTTTCTATGACAGCACCTTTAAATTAAATTGGTATTTTGAAATTCAGTAAAATTTAGTGATTTGATATTACTTAATACATGCAACATTAAATGGACTAAACTCATGTGTGGCTGCTTTAGAGTATTAGCTTCACATTCAGATTCTATAAATGCTGTATTTGCAGGCAACATTTAAGGGATGGATGGATATTATGTATGCAGCTGTTGATTCTGTTAATGTAAGTATTGGTCAACATTAAACGAAAATCTACGATTTTAAACAGCTCCTTAGTTTAATTTGGCCATTTTCTTTTTTTCTTTTTTTTAATATGTCTTTATTGATTTCAGAGGAAAGGAGAGGGAGAGAGAGAGAAACATCAATGATGAGAGAGTCATTGATCGGCTGCCTTCTGCACGCCCCCGACTGGGGATCGAGCCCACAAGCTGGGCCTGTTCCCTGACCGGGAATTGAACCCTGATCGCCTAGATCCTAGGTGGATGCTCAACCGCTGAGCCACGCCTCTCCGGGTGTCATTTTCAAAGAATAGTTCCAAGGAGTGTTTGATATATACACACCAGCTGAAAAACTTCCACCTAATTGTAGCCTTAATGATTAGATATGCACTAATTATTTGGAGACAGAGTTGACTCAGACTCTGGCTCTACCATGTCATTCAAGCTGGGCAACTGAATTTGAGCAAATTCCCTCTCTGAGACTATTTATTGACTGTATACAGAAAAATAATTCCATGCCTACCTCATGGGATTGTTCTGAGGATCCAACAAGAAAATGCAAGTAGAGCACTTAGCACAACCTGGAAATAAGAAGTGCTCAGTAAACATAAGTTTATCAAAATTAAAATGAAATAACATATGTAATTCATAGTTTTTATTTTTATATTTTAAAATACCATAGAAGTGTTTATGTGAAATAAGTTCCACACAAAGAAAGTTAAATCCAGTGAAGACATTTCTGTTATCAAATTTTAAAAAACTATATAAATATAGTATATCTCTTCTACAGGTTTTTTTCTGGAAATAAAAAACATACTTTAGATCATTTTGTTACTAAATTGTCCAGTCTGAGAACAAGTACTTTATATAGTTAAACCCTTTGTAGTCATTTGAAGGTTATAGTCATGTATATAGTAAGCATGTAATAAATATTTAATGTTAGAAATTTTTTAAGAATGATTTTGTTAAGCCTCTATAATAGTATGCCTTCTGAAAAGCTAATTTCACCTAGAATAGCACTGTTTGGATTACCTTGTGAAACCACGTGAGAAAGAAAATGGTGAATGTTATTGTAAACATGCTGCTAACTCTTGTTAATTTTGTAGGTAGACAAGCAACCCGTATATGAATCCAGCCTCTACATGTATATTTATTTTGTCATCTTTATCATCTTTGGGTCATTCTTCACTTTGAACTTGTTCATTGGTGTCATCATAGATAATTTCAACCAACAGAAAAAAAAGATAAGTTTTTTAAGTTTCTTTCATTGCACTGAAAAATAGGAACAATTATTTTCCAAAAAAATATGTGAAATTTAATTTTATATCAGTAATTATCTTCATTAGAACTTGATTTATTTTATTTATTCATTTATTTAATATATCTTTATTGATTTCAGAGAGAGAAANAGTAATTATCTTCATTAGAACTTGATTTATTTTATTTATTCATTTATTTATTTATTTAATATATCTTTATTGATTTCAGAGAGAGGAGGAGAGAGAGAGAAACATTGGCGATGAGTCATTTCTCGGCTGCCTCCTGTACGCCCCCCATCAGAAATCGAACCCGCAACCCTGGCATGTGACCTGACCAGAATCAAACTGCAGTCTCCTGTATCATAGGTCGATGCGCAACCCTTGAGCCATGCCAGCCAGGCCATTTTTTTTTTAAATAATTGGCCAGCATACAGTTACAGATATGTTTAATCTCATTTATCTCTACACAGAAAATAATCATAACTATTTTTAAGCAATATGGCAACAATTCAGGTTTTTAAAATGTCCCCTGTAGAGAATTTAATAATTAAGAAAAATTAATGCACTAATTATTTATTCAAAACACATTTCACAAGCTGTTACTTCATTCTGTTCTGAGCCACTGTTCTAGGTGGTATGTCTTGGACTGGCGCTTGAGGAAAAACAACATAAGATATGGTTCCTGAGCTCAAGGAGCTTATGTTATAGCAGAAGACATGATACATGTAATGGAAATTAATATTTATTGAATATTGCTAGTGAGGTACTCCCCCGAGATTTCTGTTTCAACTACTGGAATATTTTATAATCTCCTCTTAGTTTTCCCCCGCCCTTCATTATATTCACAACTAGTGTATGTATCATCATTGGAAGATAAAATCTGTTCTTTGATTTTACCTCTAATTCAGAATTCTCTCCTTAGTTTTTCCTAGTTTTTTCTGGTAAGTTCTTGACATGCTATGATATTCAGCCCCTATCAGTAAGCAATAAGGTATCTGGGCTTCTCTTAAAATTGGTGTGAAGGCTCTCTCTCATGTTTACTGTCAATAGATCAGATGAATACCAAAATTACATAAAGACTGCATATCAACTTAAGGAAAGGTAAATTAAAATACTCTAAGACAGAAAGGGGAGCCTGGTTATTATTAAGCATTTGATAAGTTTTTAAAAATACAATGTACAATATAACAGCAAGCTGAATATTACCTAACCCAAGAAAACTAGAGAAACCATAACCAGATCATCTTTAACTCCAGGACCCTATAATACATGTACTTTATATATGCACATTACACTAAATACGGAGAGTCATGTGCCTACACATAGGTAATCCTTTAAGACGGCTTGCTTTATAGCTACATTGCACATAATAAAATGCATTTCATTTCTATAGTAATACATTTCAACCTATCTTAATCTGAGGAAAGATCTAGACAGTGATTCTGGTTTTAATCAGATTTCTTTATTTTTTTACCTTGGAGGTCAAGACATCTTTATGACAGAAGAACAGAAGAAATACTATAATGCAATGAAAAAGCTGGGATCTAAGAAACCACAAAAGCCAATACCTCGGCCAGGGGTAAAAAAATATATATATATATCTAGCATGTGAATTTTCATATTATTCTTAATTCACCTTTAATGTACAACTATTTCTTAAACATGAATATTTTGAATTAATTTTGAAAAAATTTGAACAAAACTGCTAATATTTTGAACAAAAGTCCTTGTAAAACTTTATATATACTTTGAACACTGTATCAGTTCTTAGTATTCCTCATTTTTTATTTTTGTATAAAAATGAAAAATAATTATATATACATTCACTTTTATATCAGCTACACAACTTACTACTACAATGGCCTATAAGATATGAAAATTAATGTTCTTTCGATTGAATATAACATACCAGGGTGGATAAACGTAAAAGCCAATGTTAGTATACAAGGCTGACTGATATACTGAAAGATAACAAAAAGTTTCATTGACTCTGACTTTGATTTAATAATATTTCTTGTAGAAAGCACAAGCCTATGACCAGGGATAATTTACACAAGTTTTGAAGACAGATCCTTTAAAAAAATTTTTTTTACTAACATTGATAAGTTGGCACTGCTTGCCAAGTTTACTCTACATTCCATATTATCATCATTTATTTGCAGAACAAATTCCAAGGATGTATATTTGACCTCGTAACAAACCAGGTTTTTGACATCACCATTATGGTTCTTATCTGCCTCAACATGGTGACCATGATGGTAGAAAAAGAGGGACAAAGTAAATACATGACTGACGTCTTATATTGGATAAATGTGGTATTTATTATCCTTTTCACTGGGGAATGTGTGCTGAAACTGATCTCCCTCAGACACTACTACTTCACCGTCGGATGGAACATTTTTGATTTTGTGATTGTGATTATCTCCATTGTAGGTAAGACCATTTACTCATCAGGTTTTCATTTTGAATGCATCTAAACTCCACACATGCCCAGAGCAGTTCCTGAATTCCTGAATAGAAATTTACTTTTGAGTAAATTAGTAAAATGAGAGAATGAAGGAACCTTAAAAAACAAAACTTTACAAAACAAAAACCTTTGTGTCAGAATTCCTGGGTTCACACGACAGGCCTCACATCCTCAAGTGTTCTATTTGTTGGAAGAACATAATACCACTTGACCCAGCATTTGATTTCCAAGATTACCTTTCACAACAGTAGCAACTGAGTCTTTCTGTAGGTATATCTTAGAAGACCAAAGCAGAGTCTGAAATCATTTCCAGTTTTAGCACAGATGAGAACTGCCCTTTGATTAATGATAATATTAACAGCCAGGTTATTGGTGACTCTTCATGAAAATTCTTCCTAAACTCAAAGTAAAGTTAAGGTCTCAAGAAATGCCATCTTCATTTCTTATGGCTTTATACTTGGCAAGTCTATAAAATACAATCATTTCTCAGCCAACCCCAGTCATGTCTATGAATCACAATACATGATTTTATACTTTCTCCCCTTTTCATTACCACAGCTGTTTTCATATTCTTTTGTTTTTCCATTATCTGTACATGCCTTGCCCAGCATTTTAGGATTGCATTTATTATTTTTTTTATTGTTCAAAAAATTATAGATGTCTCCTTTTTTCCCCATTGACCCCTTCCACCCTGCACCCACTCCCGCCCCAGGCCTCCACCACACTATTGTCTGTGTCCATGGGTTACGCATTAGAATCATACATTTTAGAAATGAAGGGATTGAGAATATCATAAATTGGAAACAATATAAATATTCCTCATTATGGGGAACATTTTACACCTGTAAGAAATTACTTAGTTGTCATTTGTATGGAAATATCTTCATGACATGAAGTGACTAAAATAGATTACAAAAAATGCTTATGCAGCGTGATTACATTCATGTGTTTATGTATGCATGTGTGTACTTCCATAAAAAATTGCCTGGAGTGATACTCAACAAAATATTAATAATAGTATGGTTGGTGATATTTCAGGTGATTTATATTTTCTTTTTAGCATTCAGTGCTTTAATTTTCTACATGAGTAGGCATTATTCTTATAATTAAGAAAATTATTGTGAAAGGGAAAAAAATCAATGTCCACAAACTTAGTGAAGGAGGGAAAATGTGACAGTTGTAAATCTAATAATTTTCCTTTGGGATTGCTCAACCCTTTGATTGTTATGAAATCTCTTTCAATAAAACGACAGTCCTGCAATTATAAGAGATATGCTGGTGGATAAAACTATTTAGAGTCAAGATTTTCTGTAGTATGGAAATTTAAATATTTTTTTTATTCATTCCCTCCTCACCAGGTATGTTTCTAACTGAGCTGATAGAAAAATATTTTGTGTCCCCTACCCTGTTCCGAGTGATCCGTCTTGCCAGGATTGGCCGAATCCTNNTTTTCCATAGGCATGTTTCTGGCTGAGCTGATAGAAAAATATTTTGTGTCCCCTACCCTGTTCCGAGTGATCCGTCTTGCCAGGATTGGCCGAATCCTACGTCTGATCAAAGGGGCAAAGGGGATCCGCACACTGCTCTTTGCTCTGATGATGTCCCTTCCTGCGTTGTTTAACATCGGCCTCCTGCTCTTCCTGGTCATGTTCATCTATGCCATCTTTGGAATGTCCAACTTTGCCTATGTTAAAAAGGAAGCTGGAATTAACGACATGTTCAACTTTGAAACCTTTGGCAACAGCATGATCTGCCTGTTCCAGATTACCACCTCTGCTGGCTGGGATGGTTTGCTAGCACCTATTCTTAATAGTGGCCCTCCAGACTGTGACCCCCACAAAGTTCATCCAGGAAGTTCAGTTGAAGGAGACTGTGGGAACCCTTCTGTTGGCATTTTCTATTTTGTCAGTTACATCATCATATCATTTCTGGTTGTGGTGAACATGTACATCGCTGTCATCCTGGAGAACTTCAGTGTTGCCACTGAAGAAAGTACTGAACCCCTGAGTGAGGACGACTTCGAGATGTTCTACAAGGTTTGGGAGAAGTTTGATCCCGATGCAACCCAGTTTATAGAATATAGAAAACTCTCTGATTTTGCAGCTGCCCTGGATCCTCCTCTTCTCATAGCAAAACCAAACAAAGTCCAGCTCATTGCCATGGATCTGCCCATGGTCAATGGTGACCGGATTCATTGTCTTGACATCTTATTTGCTTTTACAAAACGTGTTTTGGGTGAGGGTGGAGAGATGGACTCTCTTCGTTCACAGATGGAAGACCGGTTCATGTCAGCAAATCCTTCTAAAGTGTCCTATGAACCCATCACAACTACACTAAAACGAAAACAAGAGGTTGTGTCTGCTACTGTCATTCAGCGTGCTTACAGACGTCACCGCTTAAGGCAAAATGTCAAAAATATATCAAGTATATACATAAAGGATGGAGACAGAGATGATGATTGGCCCCACAAAGAAGATACGGTTTTTGACAACGTTAATGAAAACTTAAGTCCGGAAAAAACAAATGCAACTCCGTGTACCATCTCTCCACCTTCCTATGATAGTGTAACAAAACCAGACAAAGAGAAATATGAAGAAGACAAAACAGAAAAGGAAGACAGAGGAAAAAATGGCAAGGAAAGCAAAAAATAGAGCTTTGTATTTAATACACTGTTTACAGCTTGTGACAGTGATGTATTTGTGTCAATAAGACTCTTTTAAGGAGGTCTATGCCAAAACGTTTTACCAGAATATTCTCAAAGTCAGCGCAGTCACTAGCTCTGATTCCCTAAGATAGCTGGGCAGCATTAGCAGATGGCTATTTTTGCACTGGTAAATGATTCTGTAATAATTGTAAGAGTAACTCTATAGGGATTACTGACTGCAGCAAGCAAAGGTAATTTTATTTTATTTGCTTTTAATAAATCACAAGACCATGTAGAAAATGTTCACATCTGCCTTGTCATCTTTTCACAGAATTGTAAACATTCATGTTTCCCACGCACATACACACACACACACACACACACATCTATCATTTGGATATCTACGAAAGTATTTTGCCTTGGCTTTGCCATGAAATACCCTGATAGAAGAAATGGACATTAGTAATGAATGTTTAGTTAAAACATTTTGGTGTTAGGAAGCAAGACTCTTTTATCCATGTAGAGAGGTCATTCTATATTTTGAGGTGCTTAAATTTAATCTATATTGCATCAGGACCAATTTATATGTGCCTATAAAATGCTATGGGATTAAAAACACATGTAAGCTAATCATTTCAGCAAATACTTTCCATTTGTCCTGACTCGTGTAACAACCAGAATTAAGATTTACCTTTAGAGTATTGTGCTTTATAGCCTGTCTTTTTATATCCTTCTTAGTTCATACAACCACAAATCATGAAAAATTATGCTAAGTGCGTATCACATTCCTCAAAAGAAAAAAATGAAGATAACGGAAAATAAAAGAAGCCACTGAAGAAAGCTTTATTTACTATTATTTATATAATCTAGCACTAGACTGTGCTGCCCCCAAATACCAATAATGACCCAACTTTTAATCTTTTTTGTGGCATTTTCCTGCTTTCTCATGCAGTATTGTTCAGTCATCCTTGAGTGCTAAGCAGAGTTGCTGTTTCCCTTCAGTGAAGTGCTTCCTGATACGCGCTAGCACCGAAGGCTTGGGCCTGTGTTCAGCGCAGCCCCTGTGAACCATCCTAAATGTGGATGGCAAGCTTTCAAGTCATAATATAAGACAGACTTTCAACTCCGACTTGTCTTTAGAACAAATGAAAGAGCATTCAGCTGGGATTCTTGCCAACTTGCTTTCTTGTCACTTAATTTCTTTTCCTAATTTGTACAAGCAATCCTTTTAGACCGCTAATCTTTCATCTAAAAATGAGGAGGATGTCACTTTCTACTTAAAATTCCTCGGCTGTGAGGTATATTATGCATCAATCAATAAAGTGCCCTGAGCTTATAATTCACCAAGCACATAATTATTTTGCTTTAGCTGGTGTCCTCTTACCAAGGATGATGAATCTAGTTTTTGAGAAATCCCTGTTAATAGTGGCTTGGAAAGAATGGTCATGGTGCAGTTTTTCAGCATTTCATTTCAGGAATATGAGGTCTTTCTCCTATTGGGTTATACATGTGCAGGCAAAATTTGTGTTATGTAAGGAGAAAATTTTATTTAGATTTTGTGGGAATTGCAAAACGAACATCTAGAAGATATTTCATTCACTTGCTTTTTTAAATTAAAAAAGAACATGAATTATATTTCTGTAATTGGTACTTAAACCTATTTTTTGTTGTGCTGGCTAGTTAAAAATAAAGGAGACTTAAACATACCTACAGGAATGAAGAGGTGTGGGTCGAGAATGAAAAACAGAAAGGAAAGGCTAAGAAACATAGATAGGAGAAAGTCAAAGTCAAACGAAAACAGATATTTGCACAAAACTTCATATCTAGAAAATTTTTAAATTGTGATGTATTTTACAATATCCATGAGAGAGATTATCGCTTGTGGACATTTGTCAGAAGGTACATGTAAAGTTAACTCTAGGGCCAAAGCTTCCTTGCACCATGCTCAGTCATTCATCTTCATTTATTTGAGCCACTTTTCCATCTAATGTGAAAGCTACAGGCAGGGTCTTCCTAGACGCTGCAAAGCATTGCATCTCACACCTGCTAGGCCTGTCAAAAATATATTTTGACAGTTTAATGAGGGAACCACACAAAATACATTACATTTGTAAGATTTTTTAATACATTAAATTAATATCACCTTAAATTCTAATTAAGTCTATCCTGGTTATTTTAAACACATATAAATATGACTGCATTTTGCATATTTATAGAGTATAGTATGAAAAGATGTATGCTGGGCAGGTTTATGTGTGGTTGACTATTAATGTTTTTACATTTCCTGATTTTTATGTAAAATTTAAAAAATATTCGCAACTTAATCCTCAACACAGTTTCTTAACATTTCAAAAAAAAATTATAAAATTGCTCTTTCTCCTATTTCATGCTGAACTATAATTTTAAAAAATATATAACGTACTTGGGTTTTGTATATATGTGTTTTCCCAGGAATGTCTAGTTTTGACTTTTTATCAATTAAGAATATTTGGAACTAAGAGCTCATTTAGTACAGTGTAAGCTTAAAGAAAACATAGATTTCTCTTTTCATGTAGATTACTGTTTGGTACTGATTGTGAGATATCACCCTGCCAAAGGTATTGTCATACTAATATTAAAATGACGTAATCACTGAACTCAGTTCACCTACGGATGTAGAATGGCAGTTACATTGTAAAATTTAAGTTAGAATAAAGTGGAAGCAAACAGATTTGAACACAAATCTATACATATAATTTGGATAAATATGGGAGAATCTCATTTTACCTTTTTGATTGTTACATCATTTACAAAAGATGTGACTTGTGGGCTGATTCTAAAATGTTGATTGTTAAACCTCAAACCAAAATGTTCATCATAATTTTATAGATTTTTTTGAAAGCTTTATTAAAAAGAATTAAGATAAAATGCATATGTAAATAAAGCAGTTCTAAATAGAAATTTTGGAGAAACGTTCATGAAAGTAATGAAATGAGGGCCAGCTAAGTTAGAATGGCCAAGTAACTGGCCTGGGTTTAAGACCTATGTATACAGGCCACCAGTTTTTTAAAATATCTGTGGTTTATTATGTTATGTTCTTGAAGAAAACAAGAATTGCTTCACAAAAATAAATGAATAGCCATGAATATAATAATGCTGTTTACATAGAAGTCTTTACAAATTTTATACATCTATGAATGCTCATATTTGAGTTTGACTTTGTCATCAATTATATTGTAGTTATATTTGAGATATACTGTAATAGAATCTATGAATAAAAGTCATCAGAAGAAATAAAATTATGTTTGCATGCATTTTCTGTTTCTGTGAGAACAACCTTTAAGGAGATAAATTCAGCGCATCCCTAACTAAGTTGCAACAACTGACTGCTATTTTTTTTTAATATATCTTTATTGATTTCAGAGAAAGGAAAGGAGAGGGAGAGGGAGAGGGCGACAGAAAAAAACATCAGTGATGAGAGAGTCACTGACCAGCTGCCCCCTGCATGCCCCTGACTGGGGATGGAGCCCGCTACCCAAGCATGTGCCCTGACAGGGAATCGAACCCCGAGCGCCTGGATCCTGGGTCCGACGCTCAACCGCTGAGCCCCGCCCGGCGGGGTTGATTGCTATTTTTAAAAAATTGAAAGATAAACTGTTTCAAATGCCCTCTATAAGAAGTCTTCTAGGATAAGAAAGATGGGCATAAAGAATATAGAGTCCAAAGCAATTTACTGAAATCCACAAGAGACTTTGTGCCAAAGGGGGAAAAATGAGACTGGAAATGAAAATACACAAACATTTAGCCACACGGTGACAGTAGGCATCCCTGTGTGTGTGCAATAGCAGAGAGGGAGTATGGCATACATAATAGCCAAGGGCCTGGGTTCGAGAACCAGCGCTGTATTGGGATTCCAGTTCAGCCATCTCTCTCTGAGTTTACTGAATACACGATTGAACCAATGCACGCCTCGGCTTTCTTTCTCATCTATAAAATGAGGATAATAGTTCTACATCATAATATGGTCATAAGTGTAGAATGAATGACAAAATCACCATGAAGCCATTAGAATGATATCTGACAACACAGACTCAAGAGTGTATATCAGTAGTGTTGTTTAGTGTGGCAGTCAATTTACTACTAAAAATATAAGAGTCAGGCTACCTCCCTGTCACACAGGAGCACATGCATTCTCTGTAAATGTTAAGCAATAACAGGATTTCCTCTATTTTATATGGCTTTGTGTAAACATGGTACCCCAAAGAGTCTCATGCATCTTTTTGATATGTAATGAACATTTGATGATGTGACATACACAACAGACTATTTCAAATTTGAGCAATTTTGATATTTGTGAACTTAACATGTTAAAATGGGGAAATGTGCATATTTACAAAGGTTTAGCTTATTCCATGAAAAAATTTGGAGGTGGTAATTTTCATATTTAGCTAAATAACCAATCTAAGTCTCTTTTATTTGAGAGAAGACAAAAATGATAATACAGGAATGATTATAAATATCAGAGAGTAATATATTGATTTTGTCATACATTATGAATCAGATATATGTTATATGTATTAGATTATGTTTCATTATATGTTCTATTACCTGTATTATATACTATTACCTATATTATATACTTCACTCTCAAAAGCTTCACAATTTTTAGTCATAACTTAAGACTTGAGTTTGTGCATATTCTTTTACTGTAAATTTTTATAATTCCAGAAGTACTCTACTCATTCAATTTAATAATTTATCAGCACTTTTGCCAAAAAAATTAAAAAATCACTCAGTAGCTAACTTTTTATCCCTAGTAGCTGTTTTAATTCTCACACATATAAATGAGCGATTTTTTAAAAAGAGATATTCAAAATTGTCATTTCACTTTGGCAGTTTGAGGCCAAAGATTTAAAGAGAAAAAATTAAAATTTGTAACTAAAATAAAAACTCGTGCACCTCTCTGAACCTAAGATATTATCATTATTCTTGATGTTCTCAATACTGGAAATTAAAAACTAATTTTGTAATAAAATTTTATGGATGAGAAATAGATACTAAAACTCTTCAGAAAATATTTACTTTTTTTCTTTAAAACTCTCATGAAGCTCACAACTACCAAACTTCTAAATATCGAAATTTAATTTGACTCCCTTTAAGAAGCTAGTAAAGATAGAATTCTCTTGTAATCTCCCTAAACAACTCAGCACATCTTGATATGTTGGTTCTTCTAGTTGGTGCCCTCAATAGAATCAGCTCTGATGAGAGGATTGGAAGGAAACTCGTGGGAAAAGAATTACTTCGTGTTTCATCTCCTTGCTTAATTTATTTCCTTTTATATACTCATCTTACCCTAATCATCTCATTTTGAGCCTAAATTCAGAACAAAGATTGTTAACTGACTTAGAGTCATCTACTTTTGCTCTGACTCTTGCAATGAAAAGAAATGTTTATCTCTAAAGAAGTACATATCGTTCATTTATTTTAGATGCAGATGGGTCTGCCTCCTGCAAGCCGCAGCCAGAATAGCACTTAGAGCCAGGTTATGGGCTGAAAGGGATCTGGGAGGGAGCCAAGGAAAACAAGAGAAGCAATCTACTTTAGCTTCGTGACTCTAAGCCACACAGCTTATTTCAGAAATCTGAAGAATGACTGCAAACAAGAAGTGCATGTGTGCAGGCAAGCATATTTTAATATTTTCCTTTGAAATAAAATATAAAATTTACTAATTCTCAAGCCTAGAGCTAGAAAGGGCATGGTTAGCTTAGTCTAAAGAAGCCAGTGCTTGCATAGAAAAACAAAGCCCTTTGATATGCACAAAGCTGAGGAATCCTATAGCAGTTTAACATGGCAGCCTTTGGCATTTTTTCCAAATTAGCATTTCATTCTTTCCTCCTAGAATAAGAGAACTATTTTTTTCTCCCCTGTTTCTGTCATCTTGGGAGCTAAAACCTTTAAAACTAATCTCTACCTCTTTATAAGATCAATAAAGCAAATTAGACATGATAGTGAAAGCACTTAAAGGAATCTAACCTCTGTTTTTCAGAGTGCAATACCATCTTATGCCTTTAAGAACTGTCAATAAATGTAAATATACAAACATCTACATAGTAGCATCATATTATGCAATGTCTTGAGTTTATACCTTTCTTTCACTAACAATGTGACTATGAACTTGATCAAAGTACTATATTTGCTGAGCCTCAGTTCTTTTTTTATCTGTAAGAGACTGGTACCCAGTAGTTCCAAGGTATATAAATACAGGGTAGGAGATTTAAAGGGCAATCATTTATTATGCATGTTCCGAAGTACCTCTCATTCAAGGATTCAGTCATAAATTCAATAAAATGATATCGAGCATCTACTGTGTCCTGGAAGAATCAGCCAATGATAACAGTATTATGCTCTATTTCCATATTGTATCATGGACACATGAGGAACAAGAGCCTAATCTAGCCAGGGTAGTCTAGAGATGAGTATAAATACCGAGGAAGAGTTCATGTTAAAGATGTTGAGTATGAGGAACTATGGGCCAAATGAAAGAAGTCATGAAACCAATTGAATAAAAAGCTTCTGAAGTTCAATGAAGACATCAGAGTTAGAGACACATACCAGGAGTCATTGCTTCCTATGGGTGGTTGACTCCAGGAGCAGATTAAGTGGACCATAGTGTATGCATGCAAGTAGAAGCATGAAACAGAGTTTTAAGGGGAGTGAACAGAGTATTAAGAAAGAGAAAATGGTCAGCATTACACACTGCCACAGAGTTGTCACACAACTGAACACTAAAGTGTCGATTTTTCAATACAAGCCACATTGCATGAGTCAATGAGAAGTATGTTAAGGCTTAGTATGACCATTAACCACCTCTCATAAAACTTTCCTTTCAAGCAGATAGAATAAATATAATAATGTGGAACCTTAAAAAAGTTATATTGAATATACTCTTGCTTGAATATATTCTTGCTTTTTACACTTTTTTTTTTTAATTGGGCTTTCAGGACATCGATGGAAATACCAGAATAAGAACTTCTGATGGTCCTCTTCTCAAAAAAAAAAATAAGAATACTGGCAAAACTGTCACAACCAACTTTTTCAGAGCTCTGGACAATAAGCAAAGAAGCATATGTTCAAGAAAATCAATGGCTGAATCTCAGTAAAAACAGTTAGCTCCATGGTACTATGAAAACCAACTGTACCACAGAGTGAAAACTTGAAGCCTAAAAGCCACGAGAGGGGACAGAATGGGTTTGGAGCTTCCTCAAAGCCCTGTTTCAAAAAATTGTTTGTCAATTCCCTGGACATCCCACTTACAAAGCTGTCTTTCTTTGTCCGGATCAGAGCTCAGCCAGTGCAAACAGCTTTTTCCCTGGGGTTTTTTGCAATTATTTAATATTGCAGCTGCCTGAGATAATGATAATAGTTGGAGTAAACAAGACTATCAAAAATTATAAAGGAAAAGCTGGGGACTGAGTGTTCATAATGGACTTTGTAAACATGCCACATATTTCTGAGAATCTACAAACCACATGCATTTACAGGGCTGTGATCATCCCAGGGCTGTGCACATGTCCTGAGCTCTTACCTCCGGCTGACCTTGAGGATCTGCGTAAGCAGGAAGTAACAGCGAAGGTAGAGCTGTCAGCTGCTGCCTGCATCCTAAAGGCACGTCCCAGCAAGCAAACAGAAGCCCTCAGCAAAGGCTGGCAGATTGAATGGTCTGAGGCAGCTGAAGAAATTCCTATCCAGTCATTAGCTGACCACTAACCTAATTGAGCAGAGACTTCTTCAGTGTCTGTCCACGCATGACAAAGAATACAGACTTTACTGATTTAGTCCAGGAAAGTCACTAAACAAATCAGCAGCAGCAGCAGCAGCCACCACCACTACCACCACCGCAGCAACAAAATGACAAACCCAGGGAAGGGGGAGAAATCTGACCTTAATAAGATTAACAGGTGATTTCCTATTAGAAACCATGGAGGACAACGGCAGTGGGGTAACATAGTCAAAAGCATTGAAAGAAAGATTGAACCAATAATTCCATATCTAGAAAAACTAACCTCAAAAAAGTGAAGGAGAAATTAAGACATTCTCATAAAAAAAACCTAAAAGAATTTGTTGTGGGCATATCTGCCCTACAAGAATTACTAAAGAGAATTCTTTCGTAATGGAAGGACAACAGACAGTAACTCAAACACACATAAAGAAATAAAGAGCACCAATAAATGTAACCAAATCAGTAA